CCATGTGCTATTATAGCTCTTACACAAGCAATGGGATCAAATGCAATAAAGTAAATCTCCAACCGCTTGTAATGAGGGCTATCGCGTATAAATCCGCCGCTAGAGGCGCTAGTGTAGCGTGAGGTCTCCGAAATGTCAAATGTTATTGCTTGTTGGTTGACTACGCGGGCTTATTTCTAATTAAAATAATGTTGTGAATAATTGGTAACAATTCGGCTTAATTATGGCAAATATGAGTTATGTGGCAATGAATGTCAGTTATTAAAAATTTGAGCTTAGAAAAATGATTATGTTCCCATTTTTTCCGAATAAAACGGAACTGCGCGTCACTGTGGCATGGCCTATTATGTTTAGGATATGGTTCTTTTCTGTTAAAATACGATCTAAATGTAACCTTTGATTTCATGTGCGTATTAATAAACTTTAAAAGTTACAATTTAGGACCTCACTCAACAGTGGCGCCATCTGGTGAGGCAGAAAACGGTAGCCCTCATTAGTCCAGGGGTCATTCGCCTAACGGAAATGCTTTGGTAAACGCTAACGCCGAAAGCGTTTTCAAATACCTCACGCTCATTTTTTTTAATTTTGTTATTACCAATGCAAAAGATAAAAAAGAGCGCGAGGCATTTGAAAACCTCAGGCGGCTAGAAATAACAAAATGAAATCGTAAGCGTTAGCGTTTTCCTAAGCATTTCCGTTAGGCGAATGGCCCCCAGTATTTTTTTTAAAAATTAGTCCTAACCCCTCGTTTCCATCAAGAAAAGTCATCTAGTTACTTACAATTCGAAGAGATGGCGCTGCCATGCTGCTTAAGAAAGGCTAGAGAAAATTCGACACGGCCGTCAGGGCTGCGGTAGCATAATGGTCAGTGCATTCGCCCGGATAGCGAAGGGTGCGGGTTCGAGTCCCGTCTGCTGCCTGTTCCGCGAAACTTTTTCTAGTCAAATTTTCTTTAGATTTAAACATCTAGCAGTTACCTACATGCTTAAAAAATTACAAATATAATCATATACTTACTAGTTTTAAACAAAACTTGCAGAATACTTGTTGTTGCTTTTTAGTGTCGCCGCATACGGGCCACACGCCACAGCCACAAACGCTGCCACGAGAAGCTAGAAGCGGCTACTAAAGTGGCTGAAGCGCGTGACAGCGGCCGACTAAGGTAAGGGAGAGAGGGGTGAGGAATGGCGCAAGTGGCGTGTGGCGGCGTTCTGTATTGGCGCATTATGTGGCCGGTGCGGGCCACAAGTAGCGAGCAACTACGACTTGTAGCGTGTGGCGGCCACCGCGGCGTATCGTGTGTGGCGAGTCCATGTAAAATGTATGTCGGTGGCCCGTTTGCGGCGACACTTGAACCTCCTTTCGTTTACACTACATAGACAACTTGCACGAGTATAAATCACTTATTTACTTCACATATTTTGTTTATCCAACAAGTTTGATGCCAGTATTGTATACCTACTACATGTTATATACATGTATATAACTGTGAACAAAAAATGAAAACATTGTTTAAATTTTGTAAAACACAATGTATTATACTTTGGTGTAAACAAATCAAGTATGGCTGTTCTTGGATATAAGAACTATTATTGATTGCTTGGATAATTTTAATGGAAACAAACTGGTGTCTCTAAATTCAATTCTGTTTATTTTGCCACTAACTCATCACTTACATTGATGCATGCTTTAAACGAACGTTAGTACACACACAGATTTTGCTTCAACAATGGGCCTTTCAGCAACATTTAACACCGGCCCATGAAGCTTGATTTAAAAAGTAGGTTGCAAACTTCATTACAGCTATGTATATACTGATAACTATGTAGTCCTGATTTTCTTTTTTGAGGGTATGCCATGCCTTAACTGTAATGCCAATATTGAGACCCTAAACTATTCCATATACCTAATTGTCAGTGATGAATTTTCCCATGAACTGAGAAAATGCATGTTTTTATCCCAAATATATTTCTCATAGGTATTTAATTTGTCTTGACAAATCCTCAGAAATTAAATCCTTAGCTTATTCCACTATTCCGCTAGCCGGAATATCTTGATATTTATTTTTATTGATATTAAGATGCAGGTTCGATTCCTGCCTGATACCTTGACCGAGTAGTTTTTTTTCTAGTATTTTTTTTTTATTTATAATATTTATAAACTGAAGTTTGTGTACCTAATTCTTCAATGACCCTAGTACTATCATTGCTCAAAAGAGTATATGATACTTATTTTTATTAGTATCATCATTAGAGATCGGATAATCGGATGCATATTTATCTAAAAATATTATTTTTTTCAAATTATGGAAGCGGCTTCTTAGAACATTTTTATTATAAATAAAATCCCGGGACTCCGGGACTCCGGCGTCGTATAACTAATCGAAGTTAAATTTTTATTGCCCCTTTGAGGATGTATATGTGTAATGTAAGGTGTAAGAGAAATGGTGGTGTGGTTATAAGAACACAAATGAAAATAGATTTGTTTTTATTTATTTTTTAAGCATTTAACTGCTAGATGTTTAAATCTAAAGAAAAGTTTTACTAGAAAAAATCCACGCTTACCAGGCAGCGGACGGGACTCGAACCCGCACCCTTTGCAATCCGGGCGAATGCACTGACCAACGCGAATGCTGAATTAAAGAGAGTAATAAGGGCCGTGGTAGCATAACCTAGCAGTTAAATGCTTAAAAAATAAATAAAAACAAACTATAATTGCTATTTCTTCTTTCAAATGTTTAATACTTGAAAAAGTATTCATTTGACATTGTGGTTTACCTACAATGCGAAGAGATGGCGCTGCTTGCAGCTCAAGTCTAGGAAAATTTCGACGCGGCAATAAGGGCCGTGCAAACATAATTGATCAGTGCATTCGCCCGGATTGCGAAGGGTGCGGGTACGAGTCCCGTCCGCTGCCTGGTCCGCATGGATTTTAGTTAAACTTTTCTTTAGATGAAAATATATTTATTTATTCAATAAGGACTGCTTACACAATATTTTTATGTTATATACACACAGGATAACTGTCATTTGTGTCAAACTGGGTTTATAAGATCTCACGGAGAATAAATACACATTAATTTTAATTTCCCGGAATCGCGGGATTTTTTCGACAAAAAAGTGCTTTCCATTCAAATTCCAATATTCATATTCCAATAGCCAACATCGCAATTTTAGATAAGTATGCATTATCCTGGACTGGTCCACCAGTTTAAAGTCGCTCAGAGAGCTATGAAACATGCTCGGAGTATCCCTGAAGAACCGCATCAGAAATGATGTAATCCGACAGAGAACCAGAGTCACCGACATAGCCCACCGAATTAGCAAACTGAAGTGGCAGTGAGCTGGTCACATTAGCCGCAGAATTGACGGCCGATGGAGCCGTAAAGTTCTTGAGTGGAGACCGCGACTCGGTAAACGTAGCGTGGGACGCCCTGAGACAAGATGGGGTGATGACATTCGTAGGCTGGCTGGCGTGAGCTGGATGAGAGTGGCAAAATCGGGAGCAATGGCGTGCATTAGGGGAGACCTATGTCCAGCAGTGGACGAGCATGGGTCGATGATGATGATGATGATACATTATCCGATCTGTAATCATCATCCCCAGATCTGAATAGTAATAAGACAACAGTTTTCTTTTTTTAAAGTCATTATATTTATAATAAAATAGATCTTTCATTCTTACAATAAATCTGGTCTTACAAAAATCCAATACTATATTATACTTTAAAGACTAGAAAGTAATATTGAACTGACACACTGTAGTTTAAAGGTGAAGAGTTTTGGCGATAGAAAAGGAAATATATTTACAAATAACCAGTCAAAAACATTAGCACCATATTGATCCCCTCGTTTTAAAACCATTAAAAAAAAGTGATGTGTATTTCATAATAAATCAGTGATTTTAAATAATGCTTATATACGGGTGACTTTTATCGTCTTTACGAAACTCATAGCACATAGATACTAAATCATACAATTTGAATATGATAATCTAAGTTATAGAAGTTATAGTTGAAAATTAAATATTTGCATCAATCAAAACCAAACTGCTTATCTACTGTTTTTGTTGTCTTTTATTTCTGTTAATAAACATATTTGGTGTTTAATTTATCTCTTAATATAAAAAATCACCCGCTTTTTTCAGTTATTTAAACATCAGAAAATATAAATTCTTGTCAACAGAATAACAAGCACCCGATTTAACACGTACCTAATTGTTTTCATCTTTATAAACCTACAAACTGAATACAACTGTTAATTAAACATATATACATAAAACAGTTCTCTATCCATGATTATTGTAGTTACAACTTAAATCATTATTTACAATAAACTCTATCAATCGTTTAAACAATCTCTCAATACTGTTATAAATTAACGAATATTTACACATTTAAAAAACATAACACTCTAAGTTACAGAACTTCAATACTAATTAACTATTGAAATCGAAACTTAAAATCTAAGTCATGTCCACACGAGTGCTCAAAATACACGTGAATACAATAAAAAAATCTCCAGTGCTGGTGTCTGTATCGTTAATGAGAACACTATCACATCACTATATATCTACCTACCTAGATTGAACAAAATCAGTCAATCACAACACTATGTGACGAATACTCCAATAGTTCTATCAGAAAATTCTTCAACCCAATGTTGATGTAGTACAATTTATAATAAGTTTCCAAAACTCAAAGCTAAAACCGAATTCAATTTGAAAATCCGATCAAACTCAGAAAGTTTAGACTACACTGCAGCAAGCCTCGTTGGATGTTACCGCGCTACTCACTCAGTGACTGTCTAATAGTTTCTCATCCCATAACACAACACTAACACTACAATAGAACCTTTGCGTAGTTCCGTCAAATCAAATATTTATGACGCGAAACTTTTCGAATCCCTCATAAAGCAGACGTATTGCATAGCATTGCAGTTTCAAACTTGTCTCTAAGTTTGGCACCTAACAAGGCTTCTGTAGTAAGACTTGACCTTGCTGTCAAAAGTAAAGCAAAAACCAACATAGGTTCAGATGTCGCATTCGAACTCTGGCACTCTCTTATTCCTACCATCTGGATTCATTTGGAAGTGGTTCTCCCTCGTGCCTATCCGGGGAAAGCCACTGAAACTGTTCCTACTGACTAACGGGTTCTCCTTCTCCCTCTCTCTGTGGAAACTGGACGTTGATAGTTTCCCGTCCTTTCTCTCTGTGAAGTTCGGGTCATTGAAGTTCTTGTCCGTGAAGTTCCTTTCGGTGAAACTCTTGTCGGAGAAGGTGCGTTCGTTAAATTCGCCGTCGGAGAAGTTGCGATCGTTGAACGGCACGTCTCTGATGCCGAAGCCGCCCATGCGAGAGGTGCCGATGCCAAATTTGTTTCGGAGCTCTTCGTCGCGAAAATTAAACGCTCGGTTGTCGAATTTCGTTGGGCCTTTTGATAATCTGAAACGCAAGAGAATACATGTAATGTAATAACAGTTTTAGGAGACATCATGTGAACTGGTGAATATTTAGAGTTTGAAGAATTTTCCAGGCTTGTATGGAGTAAGGTAAGTTACGGCAGGCAAGTGCGATAAACAAAATTACAAGCGTCCATATCTTGATTTCATCATTGCTTTAGTGAAGCCAAAGCAGACAATTTAAAATACTCCTAGAATTACAAGTATTTACAGCATTTGATAATCATTACCAACATACTTTAGAAATTAACTACCCACTCTCTAAAGCTTTCTAAATACTTTTTTTTTCTTTCTTCTTTCTTCTTCTTTCTTAAAGCTATAACTGAATTTGACTCAGTTCCTTTTCGCCGGTTAGTTGTTCAATGGTTCTACAAATTCTGCTTTGAGCGTGGTGAAAGAGGGCCTCTGGGATATAACTGAGTATTGCCAATAGTATAGTATTTAAGGTCTGGACCCACAGCCTACGGTCGAAAAGCGTAATAGTAAGTGGGCACTTGCAATAATACTTGTCTGTTTTTTCAGATTCTGGCACAACACTTGGCTATTCGTACAAACTATTTGTAAACTTGACATCAGTTAGCCCTTTTCACTCCTTATAAAGCATGACAAAGACAGACTATTGTCAAATTTACAAATAGCAAATACGGAGAGCCAAGTGAAATGCTGGCATGACAGTTTTAACTTGGCTAGCTTTGAGATGCGATTGAGCAAGAATTTACTGCCGTGCTGTACCTTAGTCTCCGTTCTTGCTTTCTACCAGGTGTAAACGACGCTAACCTCTCAAACAATAACAATTATTTTGGAATGAAACACACTCCTTAAAGCACATCCCTTTCCTACTCAGCGGATAGCTCTTCATCATCATTGATAATAGCTGACAGGTCGCTCTAGACGAAAACCTCCTGGTACAATGAGTCCAGACCAAAGTAGTTCCCTTCAGCTGGCTCATTGTCTAGCAGTTCAGCCAGTTGAACTTTAAGTATGGCGGAGGAAAGCCGCTGAGGTATTTGAGTCCAGGATCAGGATTTATATTCTACGGCTTTTTACTTTCTAATACGCACGATTATGATATGGAATATTCTCTCTACATCCATTTAACCTTACATTTATAATTGGGTGACTTTTAAAAAAGATTAAACTGGTATTTGCTGTTTCTGTGTGATCTGTCTCCATTCTTGCTTTGTAGCAGGTGAAATCAAAAATAATCGCGCAAACAGTACCATCACAAATACTTACTCCCTAAAGCACCTCCTCTCCCTGTCGTACTCAGCGGACAGCCCTTCATCATCATTGATAATGGCTGACGGGTCGCTATAGACGGAAGACTCCTGGTAGAACGAGTCCAGATCGACGTAGTTCCCTTCAGCTGGCTCATTGTCTAGAAGTTCAGCCAGTTGAGATTTGAGCGTGGCGAATGAAGGTCGCTGGGAAGGGTCCGCGTGCCAGCAGGAGTGCATGGCGCGGTACAGCTGCGGCTTGCAGTGCGGCGGCCGCTCCAGCCGGTAACCCTCAGTTACTGCGGCTAAGACCTCGCGCCCGGTCATCGCGGCGTACGGCGTTGATCCTGAAAGGAATTTCGATTTGTTGTTAAAGGACATCGACGAAATCGGCCCTAGCATGCCCAAAAGAATGTCCTTCACTATTATTTTTCTATTATTTTTTTAACTTATTACCAATTAATCATTGTAAACGGACAATCTGTTTAAGAAAATAAAAAATAAAAGTTCTGTTCCTAGATACTACAGTCTGTTCATCCAACTTGGCACTCCTTTTTATTGAAAATTCAGCATTAAAAATCAACTGATAACTAGATTCAATAGGTTTCAGTCTATAACAACGATTTATTTTAATAGTTTATTGGCTTCGTTAATATTTTATTATTAAACGGGTGATTCTGTTAAAACGTTGTGCCAAGATTGTTTACCTTAATAAATGCAATATAGGCGACCGTAGGTATTTATCAACATAAAAATAGAACTATGTACCTTAGTCAATAATACTTATTACTAGTATTTATATTATATTTATAAAAAGATTATTTCTGAAATTATGTAAAGATAGTTTATACTCCCATCCCATGTAATATCTTTTTATTTTTATGAAAATCATGTTGATAACCAGATAATTACCGATAGTAAAATATAGAAACAAGTAAATGGAAAGACTGAACATTTCATTTGAAAAGAAATCTATTATTACCTACTACAGGTAGGTATAGGTATCATAGGTGCCAACTGACAACACTCATAAATCAATATGAATATAAGCATTTATTATTTTTATTATTAATTGCATTTTATGTTCATTTAATGCATATTATTTAAGTGCTTACATAGAGGTAAAAACTAAATCTATTCAGAATATATAAAGTGTACATCTTTTACGATTAAGTATTATAATTATAACCTCAAAATCTAATACATTCTGTAGTAGGCCATGGTTTCTCAAGTTGTCCGTATCTCAACAAATGCTTAATTACAGTTTATGAATGATTCCGAACACAACTAGCATTTTCTCATTGCTGGGCGTTATAGGGCATTCAATGTATGGGGAACGAGCAATGTCCTTTCAAACTTTTTAGTTTTATGAAAGGCAAAAGTTAAAATATCTCAATTTAAATTGGATGCAAACTACGGACTCTTTTGAATCGTCCAAGATCGTCCTCGTCGTTAATTCAGACCTATTACCACTTAACCAAATAAAAAAAGACAAACAAAATCTTTTGCCTTTGCTTTCAACATATATATTTTTGTATTTACGCGCAAATATAGTGTCAATGACATCTGACATCATCATCTATATATATAAAACTCAAAGTTGACTGACTGACATAGTGGTCTATCAACGCACAGCCCAAACCACTGGACGGATCGGGCTGAAATTTGGCATGCAGGTAGATGTTATGACGTAGACATCCGCTAAGAAAAGATTTTGATCAATTCTACCCCAAGGGGATGAAATAGGGTATGAAAGTTTGTATGAAACTTTGTCAATTTTAAACCGATCGGGCTGAGACTTTGCATGCAGGTATAAGAAGAATCATAGATGAATGTTATTGTGTATAATACATGCCTGAGAACAAAAACTGTAGTCTACACTTCAGCTCTACACCGAAGCGAAGCGAGGGCGGGCCGCTAGTACAAAAGTATAGGTAACAGAAGCTGTGGTTGTACCTTATATAATTAGAGAATCCGTCCTCTTCTCTATTTACTGTGGCCTGTTCATGGTCTACAGTGATCAAAGCAATGTTCCTACTAAGATCTAAGAAAACATTGTAGAACGCAATAAAGTATTGATTGATTGATTGATAACGTTAATCTAAATACTAATGAGGTTCCATTAGCTTCAATTAATTGAAGAGGACAGTTTGTTTGTTTATTCACAGGAATCGATACAAAGTGTTGACAGAAAGTGTGTTCGACAGGGGCAAAATATTTTTCATTGATCGTAGAAATCTATTAATGAACAGGATCCAAGCTTACAGCGACAAAACAATATTTTAATTTATTACAGAATTTTTTAACTGAAAAAAAAAAACGAGTTGGTAATCTTGTACTAGACCACAAAAGATGTATAGGTAGCTAGGTAAGCGAAGAGATTTAAATAATATAGGTAGTTTAACGTCTTTGTAAGAAGGTTTTATGATAATAGCCTTGTTAATATCTGTCCAATACAAGCTGTTCACATAGTGCTGTCTACAACGTGCTATTTACACAGCTTGGTTTGGTTATCATATAATGCAATACAAAAACGTATAAAACTAATAAATTTATAAGTATAAATATCTATACTGAGACAAAGGCAATATAGTACAAGGATTATTATAACGATTGAGTGCCAAAATAATACAGTTTCTCAGGCTAAGCACTTATACATTCAATAGAATGATATATAATATAGGTATCTTATGCAATCTCACATTTAAAACTTTGTAATAAAGCAACAACTGAAACATAATTTACCATATACTTATTTAATTTTAAAGCATTTAACTGATAGATATATAACTATAATTGCAATTTATTCTTTCAAATGTTCAATATCTGTATTCATTTGACATTGTGGGTTACCAACGCTGCCTTGCAGCCTAAGTCTAGAGAAAATTCGACACAGCCATCAGGGCCGCGGTAGCATAATGGTGGGTGCATTCGCCCGGATATCGTATGTTGCGGGTTCAAGTCCCATTTTTTTTGTTTCGTCATCTACCATCTTAAACAGCACGGGAAAATTATTTAAAGCCGAAATAACGGAATTGGTAAATTCTGAAATCAAAACGTCCATTGTTAAATAAAGCACCACCAAATCTCCCGGGTTTGAAATACAAAACCTTCCTCTTTATTCTATTAGAATGCTCTTTGTGCAGAGCCTGCCTGGAGACAAGCGCTTTCGTTCTGCTGGAGTATGAGCCGTTCCCGACTTCTCACATGAGAAATCCACGGTCACCAGTAGAAGCTTACAAAAACATCCGTGGACTGCTGAGATTCCTGGAATGGGCTTCACTTCTGCCTGACTGATGCACATTATAGTTGTGGGAAATACACAGCAGTGATACGGGCGCCATCCACCGCACGGGCAGCGCCGACGTCCATAATGTTAGTAAAGACCTTATAAGTCGTTACCGAGCGTGACGATCTCCCACAGCAGTATCCCGAAGGCCCACACGTCAGTATGATGGCTGTACACGTTGTAGAGCAGTGACTCGGGCGCCATCCACCGCACGGGCAGCGCCGACGTCCATAATGTTAGTAAAGACCTTATGAGTCGTTACCGAGCGTGACGATCTCCCACAGCAGTATCCCGAAGGCCCACACGTCAGTATGATGGCTGTACACGTTGTAGAGCAGTGACTCGGGCGCCATCCACCGCACCGGCAGCGCCGACGTCCATAATGTTAGTAAAGACCTTTTATGTCGTTACCGAGCGTGACGATCTCCCACAGCAGTATCCCGAAGGCCCACACGTCAGTATGATGGCTGTACACGTTGTAGAGCAGTGACTCGGGCGCCATCCACCGCACCGGCAGCGCCGACGTCCATAATGTTAGTAAAGACCTTTTATGTCGTTACCGAGCGTGACGATCTCCCACAGCAGTATCCCGAAGGCCCACACGTCAGTATGATGGCTGTACACGTTGTAGAGCAGTGACTCGGGCGCCATCCACCGCACCGGCAGCGCCGACGTCCATAATGTTAGTAAAGACCTTTTATGTCGTTACCGAGCGTGACGATCTCCCACAGCAGTATCCCGAAGGCCCACACGTCAGTATGATGGCTGTACACGTTGTAGAGCAGTGACTCGGGCGCCATCCACCGCACCGGCAGCGCCGACGTCCATAATGTTAGTAAAGACCTTATGAGTAGTTACCGAGCGTGACGATCTCCCACAGCAGTATCCCGAAGGCCCACACGTCAGTATGATGGCTGTACACGTTGTAGAGCAGTGACTCGGGCGCCATCCACCGCACGGGCAGCGCCGACGTCCATAATGTTAGTAAAGACCTTATGAGTCGTTACCGAGCGTGACGATCTCCCACAGCAGTATCCCGAAGGCCCACACGTCAGTATGATGGCTGTACACGTTGTAGAGCAGTGACTCGGGCGCCATCCACCGCACGGGCAGCGCCGACGTCCATAATGTTAGTAAAGACCTTATGAGTCGTTACCGAGCGTGACGATCTCCCACAGCAGTATCCCGAAGGCCCACACGTCAGTATGATGGCTGTACACGTTGTAGAGCAGTGACTCGGGCGCCATCCACCGCACCGGCAGCGCGGAGCGCGCCGCCCTCGCCGCCGCGCCCGCGCACCGCGACATCCCGAAGTCGGCGATCTTACACAGCTTGTTGTGGTCCACGAGCACGTTGCGCGCGGCCAGGTCTCTGTGCACGATCTGTGGACATCAGCGAAGTAATCAGAATAATGTTTTAATTCATCATCATCATCAGCCTATTAATGTCCCCACTGCTGGGGCACAGGCCTTCCCTATGGATGGAATAGGGAGATTGAGCCATGACCCACTACGCGGGCCCAGTGCGGATTGGTGGGGTGCTAACGACTGCAGATGCAGCCGGGACACGTAAAGCCGTTGTTACGTGCCTTCCGAAGCACGGAGGAGCTCGAGATAGTAAATTTTTGGTCACCCATCCAATGACTGACCAATGCGAAAGTTGCTTAACTTCAACGATCGCAGCCGAACGCACTAAACACTTGCGCCATTGAGCTCCTAGTTTTTAGTTTAAATTAAATATCGTTTATTCAGTTTAGATTGCTATAAGCACTTTCCCAAAAATGGAAAACGCAATTGAGGAATTTCACTACTAGTGCTGAAATTTGACAAGTGTACTCTCCACTGCTGGGTCTTAGGCGTTTCCTTTGATAGGAATGTTGCACCCTGATCTACCATACCGGGACAGTGTGAATTGGTGTGGGTATCGACGCTGATTGTGTTTTTAACTTCTAATTTGCATTCGCTTATACTTAAATATTATAGGTATCATAATATCAATGCTGCCTAGTAGAAAACTCAAAATTCCAGGTTTTGCTGAATTACCTTTTTTTTATAACGCAGGTAAAAAATGCTATTTACAGACGACGGCGCCTTTAAGAGGCACACCGCCGAACGGACCTCACACCTGGCTCCCGCAAGTCTTACGGACCCCCCAGTGGCTGTCCACCGAGGACCCCGCATCTCTTACGGGCGCTTTACGGCATAATATTTATTAACTTATTTGAATTTTCTATCTATCTTGAATTGTTATCCTATTGTAATTTTATCAAATTTTAAATTAATATTTGTACACATTTATTATAATTTGCAATGCCCTTGCAGGGCTCATGTTTGCGAGCTGTTATTAAATTTAAGAACGAAATGTAACCAACATGAAGCAATAAATATTATGACTATGACTATGACTAATATCTGCTAAAAAAGTCCTGCGAATACCCTCTAAGCTGCTTAGCGCGAAGCCGCGGGATCCCCGTTTAGGGATTCTTCCGCGTCTAGGTTTTGCTGAATTAACTAGTCTAATTATGACTTTTTAGAAAATGCAACAGAAATACGTATAAAATACTTACGCCTTTAGAAGCGATGTAGTCCATCCCTCTAGCTACGCAGTAGGCGAACACGGTGAGATCCCTCGAGGTGAGGGCGCCACTGCCACTGAACCGGTCGGGGCGGGACCGCCGCTCGCGCAAGTATGTCAGCAGCTTGCCGCACATCACGTACTCCATTATCAAGAGATAGGGCTCTGTGACACAAAATAATTTCGAACTCTTCCATAAAACAAGGTCAGATCCTTCACAGACTATTTTTAATAGGGCACTTTGAATGGATAAATTCCTTGATAAAACCTTGTCAAATCCTTCAAATACGACATGATGATGGTCCGATCCAATCTGCTTTGTTATCTTTATCATCACTAAGATAGTTTTGTGAATTTGGAGTGTAAATTATGCGATTAGCAATAATGTCGCTGGAAAGCACAACGAGGCCATATGGGTTAGCATTGTAACCAGACTTGAAAAATGATTTCAGATTAAACAAGAGAATACCCAATTTAAAAATAAACAACTAAAACAATGTGTGAAATAACATAATTTGTTTTTATATCTTTTCGTATAATATTGTTATGTTATCAGTAATTAAATATCAAACTAGGTCCTTTAAGAATTCAATTCAACTAACATACCTTGTTCAGTACAACATGCGAGTAAGGTGACAACATTAGGATGAGTCCCAATCTTCTGCATGATGTAGATTTCGTGAAGTAGTTCTTGCTTCTCCTTCTGAGACGCTGTCTCTTTGATACTCTTCACTGCAACTAACCTAGTCAGACCATCGTGACCATTCAAATCATCTGCCTCGGCTTTCCATACCTGAAATAATATTATGAGTATGATGGAAATGTATATAAATTGAACTTAGTACTGAATTTTTTGTCAAGCTATGAATATTTCTATTGTAGGCGATAGGCAAAAGCAACCTATCAATATTGCCTGTTCATAACATCTGAGAACCGATCAATGTCATACATGGCGTCGTGTAGCTGTTAGACTGATGTTTATATATTTTTTTGTATCATGTTTCCCATAAGAAATTTAAGGCATGAAGAAGGTATGTAATGACTTAGGCAAGCATTAGATATAGTGTGTACATAAAATCTTTTTTATAGAATGTTATACACATACCTGTCCGAAATTTCCCTGGCCCAATAATGTTTGCAACCTTAACTTATTTCTTGGAAACTCCCATTTCTGATCAGGCATTGTTGGAGTAGGCAAAGGAGGTCGCGCTACTGTCGTTATAGGAGACTCCTTTTTGATATCGCCATCATCAAAATATCCTTCGTATTCGGTATCTAATTCTTTTGCCTTTTTATTCATGAAATTTCTCAATACAAACGCTATTATTGCCGCAACTGGAAGAAATCCTAATCCAGCTAATACATATGAAGCAGTGTAAGATTTATCAGCTTCTATAACAACCTCTTCGTTTTGTGATGATTGGTCTTCTTCGTTTTCCTTTTTAGTACTTACAGCGGTTGTGACATCGTCACCTGTTTCTTGTTTGTTAAGAACTAAGACAGGTCGAGCAATAGATTCAGAAGATGTTCTAGAAGTTACAACAAACGGCTTAAATGTTGTTTCTATAGTCTCAGTAATCTGAGTTGGTATCGTGCTGGAAGGTATTTCTGGTATGCTAGGAGCGGTCGTGAATGGATTTGATTGCTTAGAAACTCTTTCACCTAAAGTTTGAATTGTGACTGGCGTCGTGGTAGTTGTAGTGCTTGTCGTGGTGGTTGTCGTCGGTCGTCGTCTTCGTAGAATATTTTTAGGTCTTCCTCCTACATTGCCAGTGGAATTATCATAGTTATGTTTGTACAAATTTGCCAACCTTTCTGGTAATTTAGAAGTAGACACTTCATTTTTCAAATCAGTGTTACGAGTTGATAATTCACTTGCCAACGGCAATTCAGGTGGTTTATAAGTTATTGGTTTTGGACTGGGGCTGGAATTTAAATTGCTTTCTGTAGTTGTGGTTCTTATCCTTATTCTATGCCTGTTCGGTTTTAGTGTAGACGTGTTCGTAATAGGGGATGAAGTCGTTTCTACGTCGTTTAAAGTTATAGGTTTCATAGTTGTCGTATTTTTGTCAATTGATGTTTCTACAACCGTGGCATTGTCAAAATCTTTAGATGTTACATCTGTTTTATTATGTCCTTTCATTGAAGATGTTATAGACACCGAAGTTACCACCGCTGTATAAACTGATGTTGCTATCTTCTCTGTAGTAGTCGTATTGACACCTAAAATGTTTTCAGTACTAGATACTGTTGTTACTCTTGCAGGTCGTCTTCGTATATTAAAATAATTTCGTGTATAATTTCTAGGAGCTGTGGTATTATTTGGCTTAATTGTATAGCTTGTATTGCTGTTCAAGGGTTGTGCAATGCCTATTTGTGTAGTATTTGTTAGTACAGATGCTTCTTTAGATAAGTTTGTTATGTTACTATTACTTTCCTTATTTTTATCTATAGCACTGGGCGTTATATTCTGTATGACAGCTTCTGTCACATTTAGTTGTGCTATATTAGGAGCTTTAGTTGCAGCTTGAGTAGTACTCGAATACTTTCGATAAGCATTTACTAAACCCACAGATCTAGCTGGTGCTGGGCCTTTTACAGTATTTCTAATTTTATTTTTCTCAATAATATTTTTAACTACTGATACATCCATATCTTCATTTAATTCTTCTTCTTCAGCGCTTGTATTTTTATATTTTTCTGTTGCAGAATACCTTGAGTTGAATTTCTTTTTTTCAGGAGGAGGGACTATGAAATTAACAGATTTTGTAGAGGCAGATAAAGTTGGAGAATATGTCAAATTGTCACTTATTGCTGGACCTCCTATTTTTTGTCCAAAATAAATAAATGGTGCCATATCTTCAACTGGTAATTCGGACTCGAGTGGACGAAAATGATTATAAATTTCATCTGAAATATATGACGTGTGATTTTCTTTATCCTTTTCATACTCTATTTTAACAAGTTTTGTACTGTCTGTATCTGTGCTATTTGCAATCACATTGCTTTCAGTTTTTTCTTTTATTTTTATATTTTCAGTGACATCTTCTTTAGATACAGCTGTTGTTGTTGCTTCAGTACTAGATACATTGTTATCTCGTACTTCATTACTTGTGGTAGTTTTATTAGTATTAACAGTTTGTGTAACGTTATCTGAGTCTGAATAATTAAGTAAATAAAGGCCATGATTTGACTCATCCACTTGAAATTCTTCTTCTGGATCTAGTTCTACTTCCTTATCTAGGCCTTCTAATTTTTCTGGTGGAACATACACTACACTATTTTCTGTAACAGGTTCAGAAGTCGGAGTAGATTTAGTGCTATTAAGATTTCTGCGATTATTCATAAAACCAGCTCTACTTCTAATTTCTTGATAGCCTTTAGGTATAAAAAGGTGCCTGATTTCGTGTGGTTTGACTAACTGACGTATCTCTTTTGTGCCATCGGTGGTAATTAACTTAAGCGTAGGGGCATGTTCATTGCTTGAGTTGTCAAAAGTTATTCTTTTGACTATTGAACTATTTGAGTCTCTTATTTCTAACTGGGCGAATGTGGTGTTGCTCCTGAAACGAAATAAAGTCCAAGTAAGCAAGGATTCTGCAATATATAACGTAGTTATTTTTTTATAAAATAACTAGTATCGTATTTTGAATTTAATCAGACTGAGTAGGTACTGCACTCAGACTTCTTCCCCGATAGTCAAGGATTTGAATCCCGGTATTAAATGTATGTTATGTGAGTCCAAATATTTCTTTCCGATGCACAGTCATTTAATACTTAAATATGAATTATATTATTAGTTAAAAAAACTGTCTGCTTTCGTCGGGACTGATTATATTATTTTTTCTATGTTGTTCGAAATTTGTTATTAAATATAAGAGATAAAATAAGCTGTGAAACTTACTTGTTGGACTTGTGTGCAAGTGCAGCCAGAGTGTTGATATGTGTGGCCAGCCTCCCTGTCAGAAGTTGGCGTCTCCTGGCAGCCAGCACTGACAACAGCTGTGAATCCCTCGTGGCATTAGTGCTACTCGGCGTCGTAGTTCTTCGGACACCACCTGAAATTAACATAAAAACTATGATAAAAAAAACATTTCATTTAACGTTTTAAGAGTACCATACCATTTAAGTAACACAATTTTCATCAGTTTCTAATCTTCAAATTTTAAGCTGTTCAATATAAACAAATTCACACCGAATTCGCTGCAACCGAGTCAATAGAACTTAGGCATAGATAATCATGTACGCTTTTATTTCATTATTCAAAACCACAATTAGCCTTACGAAATGTATCTGTAATGCTATGATTAATATTAACCAGCGCAATTGTTACTTAATCATCGCGACGTGTCTCATTTAAGAACATCGTCCTCATTACCCGGTCCATTGAATACAATGGCGATAATCATTTATCCATAAGCGACAGTTCGCATGATGACCGCGACAGAATGATTACACTGGGTAATCACTGTTTGGCCTTCACCTAATAAGTCATCAACGGTGGCATTCGCACGATACGATCTTCTATTTGATATGATTTTCTAGTGGCGACATCTATTAGTCATGATCACATAATAGAAGTAAATTAAAATACTGTGATATGTGATGAATTACTTTCAGGAACATTGAAGACTTACTCTTTTACAAGTAGGATTTTCTTTACATTTAAAAATCTGACACGTTAATGCTTCAAATAACAATATGATATTGGAGACTGTTTGTTCCTCTGAGCAATAAATTAACAATCTGTTTTATTCTCGTATTCATTATTTTCAGTTCTTCAATCTTCTATCAACAATATCGATGCCTTCAACCCCAAAAATAAGGTCTAATTTTAGTTTCCAGGCAATTTTAGTACCGTTCATGGTATTTCTAAAAAGAAAAGTGGGAGGGTGCGAGAAAAGTTTAAATAGTATAACGTAGCCCTGTGGCAGGCGGTGAGCACTGTACTGTTTATATCAGTTTATCCTGACTGGATTAAAAAATATCCAGACTTAATGAAAAAACAAAAATTTTGGAATATTAGGTATAAATTTGACGCGGTGAAGTCCCTCAACGGGGATGTCGCGGTTTCGCACTTAGAGGGTAGAGGGTATTCGCGGGGTTTTTAGCGGATAGTATGCCGTAAGCGCTCGTAAGCCGCGCGGACTGCTTAACGGCTTTCCCGTTTCGCACCCGTGAGACTTGCGAAAGGTGAGGTGAGGATGTGGATGTGAGGTCCGTTCTTTGATGTGCCCTTTCAGGGCGCTAACGTCTGTAAATAAAAGTTTTGCCTGCGTAAAAAGGTATAAGTTTGGATACGTTCTAATTAGCTTATTAAATTCGTAATGAAATAGTTACCATGTCAGCAATTAAATTGTCATGATACAGATGTTTCGATGAATCATCCATAACAAGTGCGCGGGCGCATTTCTCTTGCGTGATCGTCAAGTTTCACTGCGCTTGGTGCATTTGGTTTTTTACTCACAAACACACTATTCGTTACGTTTGGCAAACAAAAAATGTGGAACAGCAATGTATTATGATTAGCAGTACGACAAATAGCGAGGGTCGTTTTAAAATGTTGTAATAAGATTTTTTAGACTTTGAATCCTATTACTAGGTCTTTAGAATCCGTCCGTCTGTCATGTGAAAAGAAATGAAATGAAAAGTCATTTATTCAGTCTAGGCTGTTACAAGCACTTGTGAAGGTCAAGAAGCTACGCCATCGGTTCGCAAAACTACGGCGGGAGACCTTGTACTGAGAAGAACCGGCAAGAAACTCAGCAAGGGCTGCTTTTTTCTCCCTGTATTGATATATACAGAGTCGTCAGGTTGAAAAATGACTTCAGAGATACTTCTGAAGTCATCTATGTACCGTAACTAGGTATTGTTTTTTTTAACACACACCAATTAGCCTAGCCCCAAAGTAAGCACTGTAAAGCTTGTGTTATGGGATACTAGGGTAACGGATGGAATACATATACTGTACATATATAAGCATATTTATATAGAAATACATATCAAACATCCATGACTGGAGTACAAATGCTCGTATTCATCACACAAACATCTGCCCCAACCGGGATTCGAACCCGGGATCTCTCGAGTCGGCGACACCATGAAACCCGGCGTACAAGCCACTCGGCCACGGAGGTCATCTAGGATGGTAGCTTCCTGAACTGTAAAAGTGACTGATGTAGACGCGGACAGTGCATTTTTCAAAAATGTATATTGTGCAGGTAAACGGTATATCATGTTCGTTTGTCGGAAGATTTGTATAATTGTCGACAGTCTGGAAGAATCCAAATGATTCCCGATCATCTGTTAACCCTTTTTCTTAAACAGTAACCGTCGCGTCCGAAACACAAACCGGAATAGGTAGATAATATAATTTTCATATAATGCGTATTTTTATTGTCGCTATAACAACAAATTTGTGTTTTAAACTTTCATGGTCACTAACATTATAGTACGTATAAGTTATTTACGGGATTGTTCAGTTCATTGAATAGTTTCGAGTGAATAGTGAGAATGTGAACAGTGGTACGGGTATCGAACGCAATAAAAGACTTCGTCGGAGGGTAGACCGATATGTCTGCCAATAAACAGCCTACCCGCAATTACTTCAGTTACTCCGTGATCATGGCGCTTGCAACAGTGCCGAAATATCGGAAACTCGCTAAAAATAAGGTACATGGTAACAATCCCGTAAATAACTTATATTACTATAACTTTGTGTGTATATCCGACTAACCCTAGGCTAGTTTTAATATTGGGTAACTTCATAAACTAAATAGAATCTTATCTTTGTTTTAAGATCTTATCAATCTACTTACGATTCAATCACTGAGCTTTATTGAAACGCGCATTACGAGCAATCATCATTCGCTTATGCCATTACGCGATCTATAATGTGATTGTCATCGGCAAATCAATCAGTCAGTGTAACCAACTGTTATCGCGTTCTCCTTATCAAGATGAAGATTGCGGTGGTCCGCGATCGGAGAGCACATCTGGCAGTTATCTTATGCAATGAAATGAATAGAATTCCGACCACAAATAACGGCGAAATAATTGTGTGGGTCAAGTTATAAGCAGATATTCCATTTTATGCATAAGCCGCCTTATTCCAAAACGTTGACTAAAGTTAAACTTAAACTACGGCGGGAGACCTTATACTGAGAAGAACCGGCAAGAAACTCAGCAAGGGCTGTTTTTTTCACCCTGTATTGTTATGAACAGAGTCGTCAAGTTGAAAAATGACTTCAGAAATACGTCTGAAGTCACTTTCCATTACATCATTTAGAATATAAATATATAGTTATAATTAATTTTATAGTTAACATTATATTTAGTACTAGTGGCCCGCCCGCGCTTCGCTTCGGTGTAGAGCTGTAGTATAGACTATAGTTTTTGTTCTCAGGCTTGTATTATATACAATGACATTCTTCTAATACCTAATTACAATAGGCACGCGCCACCAGGCGCCCCGCCCGGTAGCGTCGGAACCGCTATGTCCCTGCTTTTTATTAAATCTGTAATATCTTCAAAAATATTCATTTAAATTACATGCGTTAAATAGCCAAATTGGTCTATATTAAATGCACAATGTATTTAAGGTACTTAATTGGATAAGGAAGAATGTTATATTGCTGAAAATCGCTTCGTAAATAATCTATTATTTCTCGTAAAAAGTATAGGATATAAATGGTTATTGTGCGTTATCCCTAAGAGATAGACAGATACCATGGCGGACTTTTTTGTAGACATTTTTAAGGTATACATTACTGTAGTACATTATTTTGATCGATCTCGTAGGGTTCAGCCAGCGTTTGCAATGTAAGCGGAAAAAACTGTGTTTATTTACGACCTTACATTAAAACCCTCTAAAATTATCAGTGTTTCCAACCGTTACACAAAAATAATCCTTATAGCATGATTCAGTATTCACGTGCGACGGCGCGATGGCTTATTTCATGTACAAGTTTGGTGTTTATATACCGATTTCTATGATTCTTTTTTTATTGAATAGGTAATAATGTTAACTTTTTTAAATTAGGGATGAGTGAGAGTATTATAAACGTAAGAGTAAACAAATATAATCAGAATGCTCCGAACTGCTAAGCTATCAGGAGTTACACGTGTTATTGTGAGTCAACCATAAAAGATAGACATATGCTGTTGCGGGATATTTTTTAGACAATTTTATGTAAAATATTTCTGTCATACATGATTTCTATGTAACTTTAACCATTAAGGCTGCACGCGCGACGGAAGCTTAAAAAATGGAGTAACTTCTCCCGTTTTCCCAGCATTTCCCTTCACTACTCTGCTCCTATTGATTGTAGCGTGATGAAAAGTATACTATAACCTGCCCAGGAGTATGAAGAATAATTGTACCAAGTTTCGTTAAAATCCGTCGAGTAGTTTTTGTTTCTATAAGGAACATACACACAGACAGACAGACAGACAAAAATTTTACTGATTGCATTTTTGGCATCAGTATCGATCACTAATCACCCCCTGATAGTTATTTTGAAAATATATTTCATGTACAGAATTGACCTCTCTACAGATTTATTATAAGTATAGATATAGGAAGCGGCATTAGATAGGTACAATATTACTGTTATGAAAAATGACTAACTTAAGTCTAACTTAAAGCAATTGATAACGATAGTAATAATCATACTGCGGGAATTTTAGACAAAGTGAATTTTTGAAAGGCATTGATTGACTTAGGCAGTCGACCCGCTGGTTCAACTTCAATCGACGTTTAATAATAAGTCGTTAAAATAAAAAATAAAGTCTCAAAATAGCTACCCAAACATTAAAATAGTTGCTGGTGAACGCTACCCCGTCTACAAAAACCTTTCTACCACTATATACCCTTATCTCTTATCTATTAGACAAGTCCGTCCGTCTGTCTGTGGTGCTGTTTCAGCGGCCAAACCGTAAGAGATAGATAAAGAGAATATTTAAGTTATAAGTTAAGAATAGTCTGATAAGACTACAAACCGGATTTGAGTAACGCAGCACTTCCGGTTTTCGAGAAATCACCAATTTCAAACGAAACCACACAAAATCTCCGAAGTACTCAATTAATTTAATACATTTTTTTTTTAAATCAGGTTTTGGTGAACATTTGGTTCACCGGTTTGCTAGTAAACTTTATTCCCTACACAAAATCTAGCCTACGGTATGCTTCATCATCTTCTGACTTTTAATATCCCCACTGCTGGGGCACAGACCTTCCCCATGGATAGAATAGGGAGACTGGGCACGTGACGCTACACGCAGATTGGTGGGTACTAACGACTGCTGATGCAGCACGAAGGCGCTGAAGATAATAAAATAAATTTCTGGTCACCCATCCAATGACTGACCATTGCGAAGGTTGCTTAACTTTCAAGATCGCAGGCCGAATGCACCTGCGCCAACGAATTCCCACGGTATACTTAAAAAGCCAAAAACTTATTATCGCTACCTTCCCTTACTTAAACCACTCTGTAGGGCTAACGGTTTTCCTTGCACTATGTTCTCTGTTATTTTGTGGCCAAGTACAGTACACAAAGAGCTATCACCGACGTAACTATTACCTAACGGGCTGCGGTTTGGCAGAATTTCATCGACGTACTGTACTTTATCTATGATGCTAACGGGACGGAACTATTTTTAGTAGATACTCTTCGAAATTTAGGAAAATTAAGTTATACTAGCAAACCAGTGAACCAAATGTTCACCAAAACCTGATTTCTCGAAAACCGGAAGTGCTACGTTACTCTAATCCGGTTTGTAGTCTTATAAAAATCGTTTCAGCCGTTTAGACGTGAAGAAGTAACAAACATACACACTTACACACTCACAAACTTTTGCCTTTATAGTTGTTGGCGACTGGCTGGTGTTTGCCGATCTCTTTTATAGAACACTAACAAACCAGTGAATCAAATGTTCACCAAAACCTGATTTAAAAAATGTATTTAATTAATTGAGAATTTCGGAGATTTTGTGTGGTTTCGTTTGAAATTATTTAGTTAAAAAAAAAACCTTTAAATAGTTAATTAAAATTGTGATAATTACAAAATAGAAATCACGTGATTTCTCGAAAACCGGAAGTGCTACGTTACTCAAATCCGGTTTGTAGTCTTATCAGACTATTCTTAACTTATAACTTAAATATTCTCTTTATCTATCTCTTACAGTTTGGCCGCTGAAACAGCACCACAGACAGACGGACTTGTCTAATAGATAAGAGATTTTAAGCATTTAACTGCTAGATGTTTAAATCTAAAGAAAAGTTTATCATAAGAAATTCCACGCGGACCAGGCAGCGGCAACGGCCATTAGGGCCGCGGTAGGTCAATGGTGACTGCATTCGCCCGGATAGCGAAAGCATCCGGTTCGATTTCCGTCTGCTGCCTGGTCCGCCTGATTTTTGGGTTTGTTTTTTCTGGTAAACTATTTCTTTAGGAAAGTTTAGTTAATATAATGATTTTTCTGTGGTTGCTCTAGTGTGTGAACGCTGATTAATTCGATTGTTTGATTGGCTATTATATATTAGGTGGAAGCGCAGTAGGGGAGAGCCGGCGACATCAGTTCCGGTACAAATAGTCTATGATCACCCTTGTAACCTATTTCTGTGTTCCACGGTCTATAGTTAGAGTTTTCTATAATGATGTTTTTTGCAATAGCTCTGAGATGCCATCTCAATTCACAGCAATATTTAGAAAACATGGTTTCAGCTGTTTACTTTAATATGAATGCGTAACAGATAACAGACAGACAGATAAAATAAAAATAATAAATAAATATTTCCAACACTCACACCAATTAGCCTAGCCCCAAAGTAAGCACTGTAAGGCTTGTGTTATGGGATGCTAGGGTAACGAATGGAATACATACTATTATACTGTACATATATAAGTATATTTATATAGAAATACATATTAAACATCCATGACTGGAGTACAAATTCATCACACAAACATCTGCCCTCACCGGGATTCGAACCCGACACCATGTCGGCGACACCATGAAACCCGGCGTATAAACCACTCGGCCACGGAGGTCGACAAAGAGATCTAAGTATAATTTGAGCACAGTCTATAATTACATTGGTATGAAAGTATGGACAACACCTATAGTTACCTTACAATGACAGAAAGGTCATCACGAATATAAATCAACTAGCAAACCAGTGAACCAAATGTTCACCAAAATCTGATTTAAAAAAAAAATGTATTTAATTAATTGAGAACTTCGGAGATTTTGTGTGGTTTCGTTTGAAATAGAAATCACGTGATTTCTCGAAAACCGGAAGTGCTACGTTACTCAAATCCGGTTTGTAGTCTTATCAGACTATTCTTAACTTATAACTTAAATATTCTCTTTATCTATCTCTTACGGTTTGGCCGCTGAAACAACACCACAGACAGACGGACGGACGGACTTGTCTAATAGATAAGAGATAGCCAAATACATAGTTTACTCTGACAATACCATATCATGGGCACCTCATAATCATCAATACCAAGATAAACATCTCAATATTTCAAAATTATTACCATGTTCACGACCATCATGTCAGCTGGTACGTACGTATACATTTTTTCTAATTACAAATCCCTTAAATTAACTGACTTTAATTACACGTGATATTGGCAGATTGAAAATAATTACAATTGTAACACCTTTTAATTACGGTGTCGTTTTGTAAGAGAATGAATGATTCGTTTTGACACTTGGAATGGAAGATGTCAAGGCCAAAGTGAAATTGAAACTGTATTATTATTTATATATACATACTAGCGGCCCGCCCTCGCTTCGCTTCGGTGTAGAGCTGAAGTGTAGACTACAGTTTTTGTTCTCAAGCTTGTATTATACACAATGATATTCATCTATGATCCTTCTTATACCTGCATGCAAAGTCTCAGCCCGATCGGTTTAAAATTGACAAAGTTTCATACAAAGTTTCATTCCCTATTTTATCCCCTTGGGGGTAGAATTGATCAAA